GTGTGGGTGCGTGTGAGCGGGCGCGTGTGACGTCGGGAGCCGCCCCGCTCGGCTGTCCCTGGTCAGGACCCACACTGCCGACTGGCTGGCCCTGGCGGTCACATTTGCCCTCTGGGGTTTTTGAAAACCTTAAATCAAAGTTATTTTTTTTCTCCCCCGGCAACTCCCGAGGCTACTGCTGCGGCCTCCGGGCTGTGAACAGATACGGACGCGAGTTTCCCCCGACGAGGTACAAAACCCCTGACGGTCCGACGGGGTGAGGTTGGCGCCCGCACGATGTTCCATTTGCTGTAAATCAGTTATTTCCATTTTTTCCCCCAGTGGGACTGTGGATCGTGGATCCCGCTGAGTAGACCGTGCCTGGAGCTGTGTTTACGTTGGTGGCCGGAAGGACTAGGGCAATAACGCGGGTGTTTCAGGACCCAGTGTTAGTGGTTTTTCAAGTCCGAGTTTTTTGGGCGTGGGTTATCCAGATAACGGCAATTCTCCCCTCGCCCCGATCATGCGCAGTCGCAGAGGCAGGTGTAATTAGAATCCCGGACACGAAAAACCGCTCTGGAAATGGGATTTGTTTTCTAGAGTCCGAACTCGTGTCCAGTTTTTAGTGCATTGGACACCGCGGGCTGTAAAATCTCTAGATGCGCTTTCAAACCGTGTTTTCCAGCGCCTCTTTCCATGCTCTGACTTTCGAACCGGCTACGCCGATGTGTCTCCGCGAGGGCAGCCGGGGTCGGTTTGCTCGCCCGGCAGCCGCGGTAGCGGGAGGCGGGCGCGGGGCGGTGGGGGTCCAGCCGGAGGCGCCACTCGTTGCGCCGGGACGGGGTGGGTAAAAGCCTCGGAGAAAGGGGCCTCTATCAGTCACCACCACCTTCCGCCGCGGACCGGTTCATTTTTTTCTGGGGATCTGCTCGGGGGGGCCCCTGTGACCATCTGTCCCCTCCCTCCACCGGACCCGCGCCGGGCGGGGAGGAGAGGAGGAAAGGACGCGACGTGGAGGACCGGGCCCGGCGGGGGCGGGGGAGTTGGGCAGGGAGAGAGCGGGAAGGACCGGCAGCCAGCGTCCTGAGCTCGCATTAAAACGCAACCCCCGTTCCCCACCCCCTCCTCTCCCTTTTTGCATCCCCGCGGCGGTGCCTGCAATAACCGTGTGAACAGAAACCCGAAACGTCCCATCCTGACTGCTGAAACTTAACCCGGGGCAAAGCACACAGTCTGCGGGGACCGGGCGA